AATAAAGTGAACTCTAAATACATGCTTCATGAATACATGAATATATATTTTGCTGGCCTCCCACAGGGGCTACAGCCCCCCAACAGGGGCTATGGCCCCCCACACAGGGACTACAGCCCCCCAACACAGGGACTATGGTCCCACCCCCCACTCATGCCCCATGCAGTAGAGGTGGGCCAGCCCAGCTGCGCTCCTTGCCACTACGTGCATTGCTGGCCAGAGCCACACGCCACCGGCAGCACCTGCACTGGGCACGAGCACCCCGAGTGCCCCCACCTGCTGCTGCCGCCACTGACAGGTGCTGTGCACTATGGGGGGGGGGGGGAATGTGGGGGTCCTCATACCCCCCCACCCTCCATCTCCCCAAAAGCCCCACACACCCACGCCTTGCCCCCACAATCCCTCCCACATATACACATACCCTGCAACATACCCTATTGCCCCCTCAGACACAATGACACCCCTCAAGCCCCCCACACACACCCCACCACACACCTCCCCACACAATATACAAAACTAAGACTTTATTTTTTTGGTTATTATGCAAGCACCTCTATATACACTATGCAAACAAAAATCATGACAAAAATATTTTTTGTAATAAAATTAAAATATTTTATAGTAAGTGTTTGACTTTTAGTACATGATTTGGTTTTTTTCTAGTTCCAAGATGGCAATCCTCACCTCCCAAAAGAAGTGTTTCCAGAGGGCAAAGGCAGGGACTTCTCATGGCAAAGGGCAGAGGGCAGCCAGGGGGCAAAGCACCTGTCAAGGGGCGGAGCTACCTTTGCAGCCCTCAACAGCTCACCAAAACTCAGTAAGCAGCTTCAGCCAAAATAATTGCCTGCCCCTGGTATACATTCTTGAAAGGTCAAAATGTAGTGGAAATTTTCGAAAACAGCTTCAACAGCTGTCTTAGAGAAAAATATTTGCCTAAGTATCTTTGGGAACAGAGGTCCCACAGGGAGCACCTAAGTACTTCCACTTCAATTTTGTTCAAGTGCCTGTAAAGAAAAGCTACATATGCTCTATGTGGTTAGGGACACCAGGGACCCTTTGGCTTCTGTAGCATGAAAAGCAGAACACTAATTGGAAAGAGTTCCTGAAATCTTGAGTTAAACAAAAGTGGCTGTGGTTCTATTAAAAAGGTATTCTCCTAAAAACTCTTCTCTTCACTTTAAGTTAAATCACCTTTAAAAAAATCATTTCTGCCTCAGACTCATGCAAAGCTAACTCAAACAGCTATGCACTTTGTTTTATTCTTTCAAGTTTGTATCCTCCTCCACCCACTTCTATCCCCTCCTCTTTTTCTTTTCTTTTTTTTTTTTTTTTTTTTTTAAAGCAAGAGTCCATATATTTAACGTTTAAAATTAGCTACTGGCACTTTCTAACATTCCTTTAGGAAAGCTGAGAATGAATTGTGTTGCCAAATCTTTCTGACATCATTTGTAAATAGTCTGTCCGGCTGCATAACTAAAACATGAATCATGCATAAAGAGCAAGGGAAAAATGGCTGCGACAAGAAGAATAAAGTTAATAAGTCAAGAACTGTCCCCCTTTCTCACATAGCCCACTGCAGCCAATAAGAAAATGTGTGTGTATGTATGTATGCATATATATATTACACACGTACACACATGCACAGGTGCATGCAAAGATTGGTATTTCAATGCCAGAGAAATCTACACAACCACAAAATGTCCCATGCATGATACTCCTTCTTAATCCCATTGCAGCATCAGTCATGCCACAGAAATTTAACAAGGTGTTCAAAACTGTGTAATTACCAGAGATGCACTAGTATGGCATGGGTTGGGTGAGGGGAAGATCAGCCCAGCAGAGGATTGTAAACAACACAAACAGCATTCACACTCTGTTTTATAAAAGAAGGGTTACAAAATTCTGTTTATAACTGTGCCAAGGGTTGCTAAATGTTTAACAGGTAGTGTTACACCTGGAAGACAATATTGGCATCTGCAGTAGGGGAGTGCAAAGCAGGCCCTATTTGGTTTGGATTTGGATTCAGCCCGAATCGGGGACAGTGATTCGATTTGTTGATTAGGATCACTGTCCCCGATTCAATTCGGTCAAATCTGAATCTGAAGGTTCGATGCTAATTTGAAGAATCAGCGATTCGGCCATAGATGCAGCTTTAAATGTTTTTTCTACGTATCTCGAGGTATCAGTATGGCTTGTGAACGCTGTGATGCTGGGGCGCATGGAGAGTCCCCCAGGAGTGCAGGGGCCCTCCATGTGCTCAGCAGTGAACCTGGAAGTGGACTGGAAGTACTTCTGGTCCACTCCCAAGTCTCCCGGGATGCGCACGGGGGGCCCACCTACGCCTCCCTCAGCTCAGCGATCGGCCATGGGGGGAACCCAGGTGCCCCCTCAGACCCAGGAGGCACCAGTTGCCTAGCCGGGGGGGCCCCTGCATGCTCCCTGGTGGACGCAGAAGTGAATTTCTGGTCCACTTCCTGGTCTGCTGCCAAGCACACTGGGGACACCCCCATGCTTCTGTGGGACACTCCATGTGCCCCAGCATCACAGTGTTCATGAACTGTCTGCTACCTAAAGGTATGTGGAAAAAACATTTAAAGCTGTATCTATATCCGAATCGCTGATTCTTTCCAAGTCTCTCCGAATCGACTCAAAGGGTTTCAATTCAATTCAGAGAGATTATAGGGTCCCCCGATTCAATTCAGATTCAGAGATTTGGCCACCAAATCGGGCCAAATCTCCACCAAACTGAATTGGGGACCGAAGCTTTGCACAGCCCTAATCTGCAGCTACGGCCCCACAAACAAGTTACTTGTCAGTTATGGGCACTGCAGCATGTCATCTGCACTGAGGTAACTGCCTGCATGCATGCTCTTACCCTGTGGTGTGGGAAACTTATCTTGGGGCAGCTTACCCCACTGAGAGTTGAGCTGCTTTCATTGACTGTGGAGCAAGACTTATTGCATAGACAGTAATTGCAGTCCCACTCTTTTTACCTCATGGTAGTTTGTTTATGTGCCCAGATCCAAAGGTATAAAGGTACACTAGTCTTCCTGCTATTTCTTTAAGTCATATACAGAGGAGATATGACCACTAGACACTCTCTGGGATGCAGAGATCAACATATTTATGAATGTCATATTTTGGGTTCAATTTCCCCACCTCTGTTACCTGGGTAACTGCTGAAAGAGACGCGACCTGTATAAGTGTTTGAATCAGCTATTTTGAAGTCCCAGTGTTTATATATTCTCAGCGTTGCTGCATATGTGAACCAGCTGGAATGAGCAAAGTAGATGTTCTCATAGCCAGGAAGAACCTAGAAAAGAGCAGCAGAACAGTGAGCAAACTTAAGTCATGTCCCTCTTTGTAATTATACATGCTGAATTCCAGAAGCGATGGAAAACAATTTGTTACAGATAATCTGATGGATTTTTGCAAGGGTTCAATGAATTATCAGATTCCTCTGATTTTTAAATTGTTATTACAATTATTCACCGAAATTTCTGAGAATAATTCTTGTCCAGTTGACTGTTTTCATACAGTTAGCAATAAGTATTCAAAATGAGTTGGTTTAGTTTTATTGGACCCCTGTGGCATATGGTATGTCTCAGTTCCTTAACTGAACAAGTACTGCTTGCAATCAAGCTTCCTTCTTGCGTGTTCATATTTAAGCACATTCAATATTTTATTTCTCCAGTTCCTTTGAATGAGCTGGTTAAAATACAGAAAGCAAAGGCAAGTGAATTCTGTTTAAAAAGTTAAATCCATACAGACAGAACATCCTTTGGAAGTATTCTCCCAGCAATAATGCTCAGCATTCATACCAAAGCTAGTTACAATAAGGAAATGCCTGACTTATCTGCAGCACAAGCTTAAGCTGCTGCTGTGAAGGAAACAGTCTCCAGGTTCCAGCTAGAGACCTGAGAAATCCTAATTACACTGTCTTTATCTCTGAAGCATCATGCGGTGGCCATAATAAAAAATGGGAGTGCTTATAAACCTGATGATGCACCCTCTCAACAGACCACCAGTTGGTCAAAATGCATGCCTTTCCCCTCCTTCTCCCTCTCACACTGCATGCTATAGCTACACTCTTCCAACTGCTGACCTGCACAGGGAATGAGACCACTATTAGATATAAAACCCAGATTTAATGTCTACCCACCACTTTGTAGCCAGTGCCCTAGTATCCAAGTGCCTCCCCTGAACAGTAGTGTAAGGGCATGTGTAGATGAAACAGGGGCCCTAAATTGAAGCAGTGGGTTTTTAAAAACACTGCTTCAATTTAGGCTCTTTAAACCCCCCTGTTGTGCACACACCTGAACTTACCTGCCTCTCCAGAGGCAAGGAGGGGAGGGCGAGCTGCCGGTGGACAAAGCCATCCCTGAGCTGTGGGGGGTGGGGGCTGGTGCTTCCCTCTGCGGCAGCAGCACCCACCCCACCCCACCCCAAGTGGCACCTGCCCACAGGCACCTGGCTCAGGTGGTCCCGGAGGGCACCACAGCCATAGAGGGAAGCACCAGGCCCCTGCACAGCTCAAGCAGTTGGGAAGGCTCGGGGGGGGGGAAGAATCAGGCTCACCACTTTTTTTTTTTTCTTGGGCAGAGCCTGCCTTCCTGGGCTACTGCCAAGCTGCCTGCATAGGCTTCCTACAGAGCCCGAGCTGCACAGAGCCCAGTGCTTCGCTCCACAGCTATAGGTGCAGCAAACTAAAACTTCTCAGAGGAGTTTTAATTTGCTGCACCCCAAGTAATTTAAGGTGCATTATGCTGCAGAATTTGCTACAGCGGCTGGAATTACTGCACAATATGCTGCCAACGCATGCAAACACCAATACCATTAAAGCAGTGCAAAAGCATTTAACCCACTTTAAAGCGTCGTGCACACATGCCCCTTGTCTACACACGGCCCATGTCACAACCACATGGCTTGGCATATCAGGTTCTACTATGGTAGTGGGTTTCCCTGTGTTTTTACGAAGGGGTCACGTCTGGAAAAAAATCTGTCCTTTCCAAGGGCAGCACACAGCAGGGACGCAGGTTAAGCAAGTACCTCAAGAAAAAAGAATGCATCAAAATTTGTCCTCTATGTCCAGAACACCCAATTGTTTAATTAGGGTTTCGCCATTTTCAGGTATTAAATACAATGTTATGAAAAATGCAAGCCCAAATACAAGGGCAACAAGAGACAAAAGCAAAAGCTAGAATTCCTTGTACAGAGAACACAGTCTTACACATATGCAATTTAAAAAGTGGGGAAGCATGAATGGTGTTTGTATGATTCCCAGCACAATGGGGCTTTGATCCCCTGTTGAGACCCTTACGTATTTCTGTATTATAACCCTCTCGTTCTCATTTATACAAATGTACAATTTCATTGTGTCTTGTCCATTACAATGAGAAATTGTTGTCCTCACCTTAATAAGAGCAGAGCAGTGACCCATGTCCCACTCATATTTCCTACGGTCTCCAGAGTCAGTAATGCATCGTTCCCGTGCTGAATATGTAAATAATGCAGGGATGAGGTCCAACAGATCACCAACTGCGTTTAGGAAGTGGACATCAAAGATGCTCAGTGGCTAGGTAGGGACAAAAAGAGAATACAAAACTCTTGCTTTCAGATGGAGAAGTGACAAAGTGAGTGATCTCAGCTGTTAATATCAGTTATTTTCATTTTCATCTGCAAAGGCACTCATGAAGTTGTTCCTTTTACAACTGATATTTACTCACATAAGCTCAGATATACCTTGTGGCTCTGGGCTACAGTGCTTTTTCAATGGCACTACATATAGCATAAGTAACACTGCAAGAGAAAAGGAGAAGTTAACAAGAATTTTTAAAACCTATTATATCTGTACAGGTAGACACTGTTCAGAGGAAGAAGGTGCTGTACTACTAGGTTTGAACACTTTAATCTAAATGCCTCTGAATACTCTTATTAATAAATAACCCAGATGAACATGTTAGGTCTCTCACAGGCAATCCTAAGAAATTAGGTTAGTTAACAGCATTAATCAATATGAACATTAGCTGCTCAGACTGGTAAATGGAGAGAATCCATCACCAAACACACAGCTAAAGACTTAAAAAAAATACAACTATGGCTTTAGAGGGCCAAGATTATCTAGTTTACAACTACTTTGTAACTTATCCCTTGAAATATTCCCTTATCCTGTCTCTACCAAAATAACCATTAAACAAAAGTCTGATCTTAAATCCACTCAACAATAGAGTCATTTTCTGAAACTTCCCTACTCCTGTTAGTCCAGGCAAGGCTTAACAGGATGACAGAATGCATGTTGCTGAGTGATAAGGCTGATTAAATTTATGGTCAGAACTCAAAAGTAACCACAGCACAGCTATACAAGTCACTGTTTCTGTCTAGGAAGCTGGCCACCCCTGGGAGAGGATGGCAGGGACAGGTGGAAGAGAAGACTGAAATTCTCTCTGCTGCTCTCTGTTTTTACTCAGAAGTCAAACAGGGAAATGTATTGCCCATCAGCTATTCAGACAGTTCTGCTTTTGTGGTAGCCAGAAACAATACATTTTGTGCACTTTTTTACCCAGAGTTCCACCAGAAGGCAAGGCTTCCCCACTCAGCCAGGATGGGCTGCTGTGTAGAGGAAAGGCAAGACAAGCTTTGTCATATACTGTATTGCTTTATATTCCCTCACATTTTTGTTGTAAGAGAAATGGCAGGGAAGATGCCTTTGGTCTATAAAGAGTTCAAAGGCTCAAGTGTTCTGGTTTTACATTTTTTCAAACAGCTCAGTAACGTGGGCCATCCAGAACAAGGGTCCAGACATCTGTTATCACCTGGGAATCTGAATACTCAGGTGTAGCTTCTAGATTAAATTCATATATAAAACAGTTCCTAAAAATAATTAAGGGCTGGATTAAACCTATTCTGTATAGAATATACTAGGTGTGAGGGAAAGATGGTGGGTATTTTCCAGCGTCCAATGCATTAAAAAAAAGATATCCGGAACCAAATCATTGTCAGAAGCTAGCAAAATAGTCTCTGTCCTTTTAGCTAAACTTATTCTCACTCCCTCCTTTCCCCCCACCCTCATTAAAATCTTCCTAAGCATTTTAAAACCTGGATAATAAAAGTAAACCTGAAACCACATGTTACTGCCACAGTGTTGGGAGCTGACAAAAGTTGAGAAGGTCCTCACAACAGTGAATGTACCATCACTAGATGGCAAACTGAAATAATATATTTGCACGTGTTTACACTCTTCGTATGAGATTAGAGACTCCAGCTTCCAGAGCCCCTTGTCTCCTAAGGAGGACAGTGAGATATGTCTAATCATGTACCAGGCCATGTCCTCTTGTCCAGATGTGACTGAGAAATAATCTGAGACAGCAAAGAAAAAGCATAGATATTTCAAGCAGTCAAGTGTCATTTTTAAGAGATTTATCAAACCAAAAGACAGACAAAGGTATAGGTATACAGCAGTAGTTGATAAGTCAGAGACTGACACACACATGTTAGCTCTGGTAAGCACTAACAGAAAATTACAGTACTAATCATATGCCAAATAAACAGATGGGCAAAAGCAAAGATGTTCTGCTTTCAGTACAAATATATGGAATCCAAACATAGGAGGTGCTGCCCAAAGCTAGAAATGTAAAAAGGCAGAGGAGTGGAAAAGGAACCACAACACCTGCTCCAGACCAATCTGAGAATAGAAATATTAACAGGTTGTAGGAAAATCCACTGAAACCCAGAGATGGTCACTGTTAGAATACCAGATTGTATCAGTCAGTTTTATTAATTTTAAGTTAGGATGCATTAAAATGTGCCTTTTTAACATTTCATATGTTGTTGATGCATATGCTTTTGTTCTGATCGCAAGAGGATGGTGACGAGTGACCCACTTATAAGGAAAGCACAGCTTAGTATTGTCTGTATGAACAAGTGATAGTGAGGTTGCAAACACCGCTGCTGACTGATTCAGCACAAAACCTGAAAATTTCCACATTAATTGAGCAGCCAACATTAAGTCGCCTGGGCCTCCCCACCTCCCCCGCCCCGCCCAACACCATGCACTGCCCCTGGGGCAAGCCAGCCCCTTCCTGGGTGACATCAAGTGTCCTGCCAGCTGCAGGCACCTGCTGAAGGCAGAAGCAGAGGCACCCAATCCTGCTTTCAGCAGAGCCTCCCCACCTGCCCCATAGCCGAGGGGCAAGCAATTTTATCACTGGATTCAATGGGAGAAAGTTGGGCCAGCTCTGAACAGTTCTGAAAATCCTATGTGGAAATTTCCAGGTTTTGTGCTGAATCAGTCAGCAGTGGTGTTTGCAATCTCACGGCACTCACAGGAGACAGTGTAAAAGTCGAGGTTGAATTTTGAGAGACAAAAATTGGGTTTCAAAACTTGACTTATACACTGTGAAATATGGTAATTGTAGAAAAGGAAGCATCACAAGCACACTCCTCCAACCTGCCGAAGGCCATCTATAAAAATGGGCATGATATATTTTAAGATTACTCTAAAGCCCATATCCATCAAATACATACACTAAGAATCCCCAAGCAAAACCCCCAACAACCATTCAACCCCACCCCTCAAACTTCTGGGTAAAATAATCCCACCTTTACTCACCTACCTACCTAGTGTTTAGAACTCACCAGGGCTTTGTAGGCTACAATCACAGGAAATCCACCAGCAGCAATCCCACAATCCCCTGCTTTTTACTTCCAGCTCTTCTATAGCTCATTTCCTGTCTCCTCTCTGTAATTAGAGCCAAGCGGAGACAGAGAGAGAACCAACCTGCAGGACTCACTTGACAACTAAGAACCACTACAGTATGAACACCTTTGATACAGGCTACAAGGTAAGATTGGGATGGGCATGTCTCATACAGCCCAAGCTGGTGGAAGGAACTCTCAGGTTTGAGCACAAGCCTCAATGAAGGTATAACCTGTTTTCAGCTGATTCTGGTTTGCTCAGTCACTAACATCTGGTCTTCTAATACCAATCTGTTTACTGCAGTAATACCTTGAAAGTGCAAAATTTATTGGCATTGCAAGTAGCTAAAGGTCAGAAGTTTGGTTTGAATGCTTGTTATAGAGATGGAAGTCTTCATAAGATGCTCTCAACAGTTCTGGTGTAAAGGGGTGCCTCTCTTCCCTTCAGTGTCCTTACTCCCTTCCAGTAAAGGCCAAAGCACATTCTAAAATATATATCCTTTTTCAATGTTATTGTTTTTAACTTTGTCATCCACTGCTTCCCAACTTGATGAGGCTAAGATACAAAGTCAATGCCAGACACTCAAGTTCTTCCTTTTACACTGTGAAATTAATTGAACAGCCCCTCAGCTGTTGTGAATCATTGTATTTTTACTGGAGTTCATGGAGCTGTACTGGTTTTCGCATGCTAATGAATTTGACTTTTGTAAAGATCCTGCCCAGGGAAAACTCCACTATGAACTATAAAAAAGACTCCACTACCATAATGCTGCCAGATATACACTGAAATGGAAGACTAATTAAAAAATAAATAAAAGCCACACTAAAATCACAAAATCTGTACCCCCAAAACCAAAAGTTGCTAAAAGAGGTCTTTATTTTAGTTACGTAGCTTTAATTTTAGTAAATTAGCTATAGTAAAGCCTTAGTAAATTTCCAGCTTGCTTGCTTGCTTACTACACCACTAGTATTTTCAAGACCCAGAGAGTTTCTGGCCCAAAAGCCATCACAGAATGCTACAAAAACAGGTTTTCCCACCTCATCCCTTTCCATATACGTGCATGTAACAAGCTCTCTCGTGCCAACTGGCTTCCAAGAGAGTAGGTTTCCTAATTTACAGTTTTAATAAACATTTACCTGATCTGGACCAAAGATTTGTTATAGTAATATTAAACATTCATTATTGTTGCATAAGGTGAATAGGTTAAGAGGAGGCATTTACCTTTAAATACCATTTTTTTTTACTCTGAATTTTCTTCTCATTCACACTTCTAGCCCAAAAGTGCTTGCAGAGAGTGTCACCAGACTTACCGTTTGTTTGTGGCGTTTAGCCCACTCTAGGGCTCCCAGGTATAGTCCATCCAGCTGTGCAGTAATGTAGCCAGCATGTCTCCAGAAGGGGTCACTCTTTTTTTTCCTGATTTGCTGTCTTGTCCAGTTATCCTGTTTCCTGTCAAGCCGAAGGATTTTTTGGTTATTTTTTTCAGGATGCTCTTAGACTTGATCTGTATTAAGGTGGTGTTATAATTTCAGCATGCTAAATCTACGGAATGTTAGGTGGTATTAAAGTTAGCACATGCTGTAAGCAGCCACGTGTTAAGGGTTAATACCCTCTAACATGCATAGCGCTGACTTGATGTAACAAGAGCTGCCTAACACCAGCTAGAGATAATTTTTGCCTAAAGAGGTGTAGCTTTGAGACTACTCAAAGAGCATTTAACTCATCTTTTCCTGCCTAAATGTGCAGACACTCCCATCTTGAGAACTTTTAACATATGGGAAAGATAACATCCAACACCACCCTTACAAATACAATACTTGAAAGAGCATACCAACAAAGTGGGTATGACCATGGGCCCAAAGCATTGTTATCATTATGAGACTCTCCCATAGCGCTCTTCTTCCCTTCATCTTCAC